GCGCCTTCGCGTAGACTCTATCTGGGAAACTCGGTAACGTAATGACCGATAATTGGAGCTCTCCCCCTAATCTCCCTACTTGAACGGTGCTGCAACAACCCTATTTCGCTCGCGCACTGGTGTCTTCCGTAGCCATTGCAAAATTTGACAGTTACGAATTAGCTACAAAAGGCATTGTTCTCCAATAGTTATAAATATTTCAAGACGAATTTCTTCAATTTCAACAGCCGTGCAACATTTTAAGATTTTCATTGTGCTTTGTGATGTCACCTACTGAAAGACTAATATCTGTTGCCTGCTGCTTTTCAAGCGAGTACTCCTGCATTTGCTTGTTTTACAGTACTGAGATTTCTTCTTTGAAGTGCGCTGGTATCGGGTTCGATTAGGGTGAGAGTAATCTTTGTAGTGGTCACAAATTTCCTTCGACAGCCGAATTACTACACTCTGTTTGAGACAGGGGTTATTCAGTAGGACTGTGATCTGAAAGTTCATTGAAATTCTGGTTCCAGCCCCTGCCGGCATTACTCGTTATTATATATTGTGAAATTGATAAATGAATACCGATGTATGAAATGGAAACGGCAGCATGCGCAGTATGGTTTTCATATACTTGATATCGACTCCGCCTTTAAATAAGGTGCTCGTGGTTAATAATCTGACAATAAGATCAGCATCCTACCGTTAACGTAATGAAAATGATAATTCAAATGTGAGAAACTTAGACATTCTGGTAATTACAAACTTTCTTTTCCTTTGCTTCCTTGATCCTTAGAGTTCCTCAAATACTCTCTTTATTGCCGATCACTATATTCTTGATCCTCAAGACTCTCAGACTGCCCTTCTTTCCATGTCGGGGATGGCGGATGGTCCACCAGGATTCTTTGTTTGCAGTCTAGAAATTTCGAAATTTTCTCGTACCGTTTCGAAATTGAGGACTTTTTTCAAGCCACCTTCTAAATTCAGCATTCTCGCTAGTAGTGAGTTGAACTTCTGTTGTCCAACAGAAAGTCAGTGACCTGTGCCTTTACTCCTTCACCCAGGCGGCAGTCTGAATGATCTTTGAACCGCAGCACTCAGCATCAGCTTTAAGTAATTTAGTTAAATGGCTTCTGCTCGGATTCCAGGGCAGCTGTTGTCAATGGAATCTATTGAAATTGTTTGTTAGTTTGACCCTCGTATCTACAGATGAACAAGTACTTTCCGTCATTGGTTAGATCACTACCGCCGTTCTTCGCGCTTACTCCTTTCTACTTTTCACTGTCTATTGCATGGAAACCATCTACCAGAATGAGGTTTTCTCTCAGTCGGCGCATCAGTAAAAGCACTTCTTACTCCCTCCAGGAAGGAATCATATTCTCCCTTCAAATTGTTGCATGGTCCTGTAAAAAGGTCAATGCTTGGGCCGGTTACAACTTCATTGAGAGTATTTATACACGTCCACGTACGAACTTCTATTCCGTGGCTTTGTCTGTCATGTTGGATTCTATCAGAACACCAAAACTGGTTTGAAAACAAATCGTCCATTCGACACCTGTGCATTAGCTTTCAATTCAAGCGTTCACTTAGTAATTGCTTTCATAGCCCTGTCACTTCGTTGATAAGAGGCAAGCTATGTCCAGCCCTTACCTTGCAGCTTCATCAAGGAGCCGCTGCTGTTTTCCGTTGAGATATCTGAAGAATTTTTATTTCGTTTGTGCGTTGAAAACCATAGGCAAAACTGAAAATGTATCAAAAACGATTTATTTATTCACAACAAAGATAAGTTGGTCAATCGGGTCTTTAACCGGTACCAACGCTTCGGTTCGTCGCTTTGCCCTTTCGCTCTAAGCGTTACAATAGCTGAAGAACCCAGAACGAACGAACCGCAAAAATTAACCCAATCAACCTTGAAGTAGGCCCGTGAGTATTACTACCGATATTGATAATGGCAGTAGTTAACCTTCCAGCTCTAATTGTAAGTAAAATCTATAGCGGTACTGTACTTAGAGACCCACTTGTCAGCGGTGTAGAATGATTACTTCAGCTCTCAGTAGCGCTTAACTAAAGCCAGAGATGGCACCGTGTAGGATATGATTATTATTATGGAAGCTTTTCTATGAACCTGCTATTGGTCCTTCTATATCGTGATGACAACCGTAACAGCAGTATAATGTTGTATTTGATGCAAATACTCCATAGGTTGGTAAATACGTAAAAATACCGTTTATACTTTATAAATGAAGTTTCGTTGTTTGAACGGAAGCTCTTAGGGGACTTGCTATTCAGTATAAAAAATACAAACGTACTCTTAAAATAATATCAGAAATGTCAATGAAACTTAAGAACAGATAAATGAATTGCTGAGTCAGTCCGTTAAATGATAACCACTAACCGAACCCTGTGTATGGCATCCAAAATTTGCGTCTCAGCGAATTGTCTTCAGAAATAGTGGATACGCTGCCTGAAGTAGTACAATCCTATTATTTCACGGAACCCACTAGAATAAAACTGAAATGATGGGTCGAAGCCGTTTTTAGCACTTGCGAAAGCAGGCATTTCATGCGTTTTGCACAATATTTTCTTCCTCATACCCTTTCGTTGATATTGATTAGTGATCTTTATTCCTAAGACGGCATGAGCAATAAGCCCCCTCCTTCATCTGCTTGAGCATGAATAAGAGCAGCTTTAATGTAGCTTAGTTATTGGAGCATGTAAACACATTTGCTTGATGATGATGAAAAATTAGAAAATAAGTAAAATTCGTCAGTCATAAGTTTGCTCGAAACTCTGTTGCACTTTGGACTGCTCATAGTCACAGGTTTCTCTCCTATTGCTTATTTTTAGGTATTTCCAGACTTGTTGCCTCAGAGCATAGGAAGTCATTTCACTGTTTGAGTATGCTAGCA